TTCGAACCTGTGGAGCGAATGCGAAATGCGAATTCGGATGATCTGAAGTCTGTAAAAGCTATAAACGACCTTCTTACCCTTTCAATCTAAAAAATGGTCGGGTATGATAGCTAATGATTTGCACATCGGGCAAGTATTCGTTTGTATCAGCCGATCTTTAATACAATCTGCATGGAAGTTTTGCTCACAATAGTAAAAGATCAGTAATGCTGTCGTTCATCTTATACGTTTCCTGCTCAATAGCGGATATGATCATTCAAAGGGAAGCACGAAAACTCAGGGAAAAGATGCAACGTGGACGAAAAGATGTGCTATTTACCATGCATACGCCGTACTTCTCCTGCTTGTCACTTGAACTTGTGGATCCTTTTGTGCCCAAGCCATTAGCAGATGGAGTATAAACTCTAGTCTTTAAACGACTAGAGATGGTACCTTCTAGAATCCCAGCTTCCTCTTTACAAATAAGTCCCTTTATGTGGGGACGGACCTCCTACGAAGTGAATTCGCATGAACTTACCATGTGCACTGTAGTTGTGTTTGGATTGAGGGATTTGGCGAAAGATTTGAAATCTTCTCAAATCTTTCTAGTTATCTAGATTATTTATGAGGTATAAGAAAATTTCACAAGATCCATGATTCTATTCTTTCTTACTGTAGTTAATTCTTGTAAAAACCTCCAAATGGGCATATGGTTAGATAGACTTTAATCGCAACGGATCTTCTATCCCACACCCTGTGTCATTCTCTGTCCCATTTTTTATTATATTGCTATTTCTCCTTCATAAACATCATGTTTTAGTTCTTTTTTGTTTCCTTAACATCTAATAACTATTAATTCAGTAATACACAAAATTTAACAAACTCAAAAAATCAAAATGCATAAAAAATGAGATTTTTTATGAATTTTCTGCTGTATTTTTTAATTTTTTATTATATATTACTTTTTTGAAACTGTTGTATTTATTTTTTACTGAATTAATAGTTATTGAATTTTAAGAAAATAAAAAAAAACTAAAATATGATGTTTATGAAGAAGAAATAGCAATATAATAAAAAGTGGCACAGAGAGTGTGGGATAGAAGATCCGTTGTGGACTTTAATCTGTTTCTAACATATTAAAAAAAAAAGACAACGAGAATATAACATTTCTGAAACCTATCATTCTAGACAAAGCCCAACGCTTTCCTGCTAAGTATGTTTCCCATGAATCCTTCAATATCTTCCAAATCAAACTGAAGCTCCAAAAAAGATATCTTTGCTTGTTTTATTATTATTATTTTTGTGTGATTTTAGTTTCTATGATAACTGAAGCACTTTGCTATGTGCAAAGGCACTGAGACAGCACTCAAAGCTTTACTTTCTTCAAAAAACAAAGAAAACAGAAAAAGCCATATTCTTTGCATCAAGTCCAAATGCCAAATATGGATCATTACCTCCTCTGTTAAGTTTCCAAGACTCCAACCATTGTAAGCGATCGTGGTCAGATCTTCTATTGACAAGCAGGCCTCCAAGTGCGACATTGTCATATCAGGAACTGCAACAGGGATGTAGTATTCCCCTGCCCTAACTTCATCTACATCCTGCATAATCTCATTGAAAACAGCATCAACAAACAGAAGGATCTAAAGAAAATCATAAACAGAAATAATACTCTAATTGGAGGTCAAGAATATCATCGAGGTGGGTCCTAATGATATTTAATTTAGACAAGTCACCTTCTTTATTAACATGATACAACACAGAACAAGAGCTACATAAAGCTAATAAGAGAATTCTCACAGGAGGATACTTTTTGTAGTCTCTCGAGAGGGTGAGCTTCTTCAGAAGATGTATGACTGGATGAGTCGGCATCATGATTTCCAGCGTCTGCACTCAAGTCCCTATTTACCAAGCTTTCTCCCTCGTTGACAGTATTAACTTGAGTCCACGGATACTTTGAAATCAGACTAAATAACGTCTAGATTTTAAACATCAAAACATGCAACTGATAAGTGATAACACAGCACATGACCGACAGCTTGCCTGCTACTTGGTCGTTTGCTACTGTTCCCGTATAAACTTCTGGATTAGGCAATGCAACATCCTCAGAGTCATTGTCATAATTGAGGACAGAAAAACTAGAGGATCCATGATGACCCGCAAACGGCTCTGAGATGTTGTTGTAGGAGTCCAAGCCACCAGAGATAGAGGTTGAGTCAGAAGGAAGATTACCTGCAAGATAAGTTTCATCGTCACACATCTTAACAACTTAGTGCAAGATACATAATTCAGCTTGGCCTGTGAAAAACTTATTAGCTCCTTGATGGAACTGTTTCAGTGTCACATGAAAAAGCAACAAAGATGTCATAAAAGAACTTATCTTCTGGAAGAACCCACCTATATCAAGTTCATCTGTAGATTGTTCAGAACTCTGAACAAAACGAATTATCCAGCGGGTTGCCACCACCACCAAGGCGTCTCCTCACTCTTCTTTCAGGTACTTCAGATGTAATCATGATCTCAGCAATGTCGTTATATACTTCACCACTCGCCGAAGATGGAGATGTAAGACCTTCTCCAATTGGCAACGTCGAATTGCAAAAACAAAAAGAAAAAAAAAATCGGTTTGTTTGGATAGAAAATTATTTGGAAATTGTGTTAAGATTAAAAAAAATGGTTTAAAAGATCAAAAAAAAAAAAGAGAGAGAGAGAGAAAAGGTGTTTACGAATCGTCGTTATGATGCAACTAAAATTTTTTTTCTATTCAAACAAACAAAGCCGTTACTTCTTAGCGCGGAGGAATAATACTTCAGTAAAACAGGGAGATGGAGAGACCAACCTTCCACGTTTTCCGCCTGAAGATTTTGCATGTTAATAGTAATTGTTAAAATTGATGTTAGATTTTGACATGCGACGAGGAAGAAGACGATTTGCCTGTCGAATCACAATGGGAAGGTTTTATAGGTAGGTTTTCGGCATTGCGACTCCTATTTTATGTTTTTCCTTTTTAGGCAATAAATTCAAAATTACAAATAAGAAAATAAGTTTTGGGCCAATTGGGCTTGCTTGTGACAAATTTCATGCAAGTGCACCCAATTTGTCCTAAGATGTTGAATGACATGACGCCTCGCGGTCCATGAGTAGGGTTTGATGAACAGAGAATGGGCGTATTTTAGCATAAGCTCAACGCCTTTGACCAGAAAAATAATGTGTGCATATTATTATTTATTTTATTCTCATTGCTCCACATCTATAAACAGTTAATCCTTCCTATTTAAGTGTTTAAGCAAGAACGATTTCTATCAAGGAATCCCTTAGAAAACCTAGTTCTCATCACATAGACTTAAAGGCCCATAATTCCATTATTTGTACTATGTACAGAATACATAATTTACCTTTACATTATAATGAAGAAAATGACTATCAAAAAGAAATAAAAATATGAACATATATTTCAACGATATAGTATGCCACAAATTATAACTCCTATGCTGAAAATTACTTGTCTAAATTAAATTAATGTGTGGACCAATAGCCTTTATATCTACCACGCTGTAGGAGCTTGTAAAGTGGTTGATTGGTAACTTATGTGCCGCGTATGATTAATTTTACCATGTGGCTGATTAATTTATCGCTGAGTGATTAGTCCCACGCAACGGATCTTTTGTCCCACACCCTGTGCCATTCTTTGTCCCACTTTTTATTATATTGTTATTTCTCCTTCATAAGCATTATGTTTTAATTCTTTTTTGTTTCCTTAAGATCTAATAACTATTAATTGAGTAATACACAAAATTTAACAAACTCAAAAAATCAAAATGCATAAAAATGAGATTTTTTATGAATTTTCTGCTGTATTTTTTAATTTTCTATTATATATTGCTTTTTTTAAGCTGTTGTATTTATTTTTTCCCATTCCTTTTCATTTTTTAATGGCAAACTTGGTAGCAAAACATATACCATTTTTTCTTTTGTTTCTGGAGCAAACCAATTAGCTTATGTTAATCCAGAGGGTTTCGATGCTCTTGTTAGATAGTGTTAAAGGATATTGAAAGTTAAAATGGATTGAAAAAATCCCCATTAAATTAAGTATGTCAAACCAAGTCAATTCAAAATAACACAGTACTACTTGGAGAAAAAAATTGATTGATTACAACAATTCGCAAAATGCAACAAGGTTGGCCTTTCGGCCACTTAATCAATCATGGGCTCTCGTTGCTTCGGAAAATGAAGTTTTGTAAGTTTTGATCGCCCATTCCTTGCGCTTATAGACTGAAGTCTGGAATTTGAATTGTGAATCCATTAAATTGTTGAATTGTTAAGTACTAATTTTAATGTATTTGAGTGTATTTCATATTAAATGATAAGTGAATAACTTATCTCTTATATTTCGGAACAAGTTTTGTTTAAAAAATTCAGTGTCACTTAATTAATTCAGATGTTCTATTTTTTATTATCAAACGCATCTAAAGATATTCAAATCTGAACCCATTAAATTTTACATCGTGATTTTATAGCGTGATTTCATGTAAGATTTTACAGAACCTAACAGCATGAAGCTTAGTTAATTAATTGTAATAATACCAATGATAGGAGATTGTTTTTGGGATAATTAATTGTAATAATACCGTAGCACATTTTGTAATATGGCATATGTGGATTAAAAAAGCGATTGAAAAAAATGTTTATGATACAAGTCAAATAATATTTGTTAAAAAAAACAAGAGAGTATCTAAACATACACATTTTGACGAGTTAAAACCACTTTTCTTATTTAGTTCTACATCTACTGTATAACAACACTGACGTTTCCAGTCTAATTCCAGATAATCGTGTTTCCGGTTTGTTACTAAAATTATTCGCGTTGTTCTCTTGAATGAGTCCAATTGTTATTGTATATCCTTTAAGCGCTGAAGTGTTCTTCAATTAATCAGTTTTCAGGAATAGATTTTGGTAGCCTCTAAACTTGGAGGTATGGGGAGGCAAAATGAGTTTTCTCATTGAGTTCGAAGTCTCAAATATCTCTGATCAGAGCAAAAGATGCGCCTTGTGAATCTTATTTATTCATTACAGGAATACATAGGACCATACATAGGAGCTTACGGAGAGTTGCAAAAAGAGAGAACCCCCTACTACAATCCCCTACACCACCGAAAAAAAAAAGAAAAGAGGAAAAGGTTCCCAACCAAAATATCCCACATTAATCAGAAAAATTGATAATGATAATAAATGAAGTGATTTACCAATAAACATTTGAAATGCTAAAAATAGAGGACTAAAGGTTACGCAGAAATTAAGGGCGCATGGGCTGGCAATTGTTGGTAATTAATGTAGTCGAAAGAACTAAAGAAGTGTGTTGAATTTAATCCAAAAAGGAAAGGGTTCCCGGACTCAGAAGCGGGGACAAACACCAGGCCATTGAAGATGGTGAGAAGCTAAATCCGAGTGGACTCGGAGCTCCGCAAGTTTCAGAAAACTTGTGGTGCTTTCTTTCCGAGGCAATCAACTCACTGAAGTTGGCAGGAATTTGTGAAGTGTTGTTGGGAGAAGGAAGAAACTGTTGTCCTCCCCAGCGACCTTGGCCTGCAGCATTGTGATCATTCCCAGCCGCAGTCCCAGGTGGCACTGACAACTGAGTAGTTGATGAGAAACGAAGAGGTGATGCTGTGGATGAGAGGTCAAGTGCTGGAGGAGCCACCTCTTCCAGACGTCTGGGACGTAACGCCAGTGCTGTAGGGACCTTTTCGACCACTTCTTGCGCTTCTGGTGCTGGTGAAACATTGGGTTGGAATTCAGGTGCAGAAGTAAGCCTTTGGACGACTTGCTTGAAGTTCACGGAATCCACCTTGTACACTTTTGGCTTCATTGGTGGCAAAGGTGCGATTGGCTTCTTCATTGGTTTTAGTGGAAGTTTGCGGACTGCATGAAGGGACGAATAGAATGAGGGTGTTGTTGTTTTGGGTCTGTTTTCTTCTAAATATTGTTGGTACGCAGCGAACTGGCTCGAGGTGGAAGAGGAAGAATTGTACGAGTCGGAGGAATTCTCCATGCCAAGGTTTACAAATGCAGATTTTAGATCTTTTATTCCAAAATTGTAGACTCGTAGTTTCAGCTAGCTAGAGGTGCTGTATGGAGGAGGAGGAGGCAAGGGATGCAAGTCTGCAAGATGACAATCTCTAACAGAAAGAGCAGCAGTTATAAAGAAACAAAAACTTCGAAGGTTTGAAAGTCACAAGAAAAATTCAAATGTTTATTTGTCCTGGGCGTCGGCGGGGCTGTATTGCAAGTGACAGGACATGAACAGTCCTAGTGCTCAATTTTGACCATAACATTATATTTCGATTAAGATATAGTCACCCATGCCTGCTACTCTCTTGTCCCGAAATATTTGGAGATAACGAGGATATACCGAGTCAGAAGTCCTACCTACATCCTCGTTCCTCAAATCTACATCTACGACCTAGCTGCAGCATCTGAACCGGAGGACAAAAGGAAGGGTTTTATTTGTTATAGTATGTGTTTAGAGTATATATTTGTATCCGTGTTTAATTTAGGAATGATTACTCCACCAAAACCCATCTGTCTATTCATTCATGGTCTCTTTTGCTGCTTTAGTACATCGGTTCAGTGTTAAAAGAGTTTAGGCAGGAAATGATGGCTGAGGCATTTTGCCATATTCTCTGGGTATAAGTTGAATAATTTTTTGTGCTAATACTTTGACCGAATAATTTATTCATAATATGCTGTGCGATATGGGCATGAGGACGACCACACGGGGTGGGTGCATTGAATATGTTATCCAATCTATTAGTTTAAATAAATTAGTGGAATATCCACTGCAAGTTGTGAATCTATAGTATAGGCAGTGTAACAATAATTGGAGAAAAATAAAAAGAGCCGCCTGATGTCACCCTAGCTAGGTTCAGGTTTTTGTTGTCATGGAGCCCAGTTATGTCGCTCTTTCTCAATAATCAAATACTTGTTCCTTCTTGACAGGGATAGTCCTCATTTACTCTTTAGACTTGGGCATGGTTTGGCTTTTGGGTCGTAATATTCATAATGCATCCGATCACGGTGATGAATTTGACAGCCCCATGTAGAAGAAATTAATGGCTTTTCGCTGGCCATGGTGGCGGCTCCGCCGGCCCTGCCATTAACACTCACTCCACTTAAAAGGAGATATTGATGTCTTTCGACCTCAATTATCCGAGGAAGAAAAATTAAATTGCAACGTCCAAATCAAACTTTCCGTCCTCTTCTTCTTCTTCGAGTTACTGACATTCATTATAGCATTTTTTGTGAGATGCATAACACACCAATTATAGGTATAACACATCAATATAGGTAGATTGGAGGAATGATCACGGATGGATGGATGGATGTAATAATAACAATACCCTAGAAATAGATGGGGAATCGAATTATTAATATTGACACACACTCCCAAGAGGGTGCCGCTAGATCGACTCAACTGGTTAGAAGCTTCTCTGGGTCTACATGGTTTGAAAGTTTTGTTTTTGTCCACCTAAATTATTTTAAGGATCTCACTCAAATTTTCGTCTTGAACAAAAAAGGGTTGATTGGTAAGGATCATTTTGTCAAGAAGTTAAAGGTATCATCATATTTAAGTTATGGCAAGGGTAATCCATGAGAGGTGTTTTCAATATAAGAGCCACACATGAAGCAGCAGGATATCACTTCTGTAAGTATTATTTTTTTCTGGTCAGCAATTACAGTTATTGCTAGCTGCTTTGGTTTTTTCAATAGTTTTCTTGAAGCCACTTGTTTGCACTTGGAATCTAATGAACCTTCTTCTTCTTTTTTTTTTTGTTTGAATCAAATGAACTTGAGTGACCATAATCACATACTTAGTCCAAGGTGTAAGGTTATAATAATAATAATTACGGTTAGTCCAAGTCCGAGTTCAAATAGCTGTCGGCTATTGAATGCGGACTTCCGTTTGCTGGTATCATGAATGAGCAAGAACCAGGTTTTCGGATAGAATTGGGGTTCAGGAGTTTTAATCACAACACTATTTAAACAAATTCCATTTATATATGTTATGTTATACTGTGCCACATTTTTTCACAACAAGAGAATCTCTTGTGAATTTTACAGTACGGAAAATGTTGGAAACAAGAGAATGAATGGTTCGGTAATTTCCAACTTTTTACTTCGGGGCAGATCCGATTCCATCAATGTTTGTAATGTTAATACTTGTGAATTAATTCTTACAAATTAAGCCAAGTAATTAAACGAGTCAATTGAGTATTGCGCTATAATTCCTACAATCAAGAATCTTCTTTCAAGAGGAGAGAACTCCAACTAGAAACACTGCCCGGTTCTTTCAAGAGGCGAGAATTCTTTTTCTTTTCTTTTTTTCTCCTCTTAATATGGGCTACACAGGTGGAGTTTTGAGATTCAATCTTATCTTTTCTTTAATTGTGTTTTTCTGGAATGTTCTAATGCATACTTTTATCTTTTGTCCTTCTGGCTGTTACGTACCGTCTATTCTATTTATCCTCTAAAGAACAAAATTTTTTTCTTTTAAAAAAAAAAATGGGGGCTCATAGGTTCATTCTTTCTATTAAATTGCGGAATCCACGGCACTTCTGCAAGTGCCACCATTGAATAATCCTTTCGGAACACGAAGAGAGAATCTGCTGAATTCAATCTGTAAGATTACAACGTAAATTTGGGCCCCCCGAACTTATAATTAAATGGCAAACCTTTTTGCCTTAAAATTTTACACGTAAACTTTCCATACAATTTCTTGTGGCACATAATTGCCCAATTTTCTAGGCAACATATTTTTTTTTAAAACTGAAGGATTAATTACCAAAGTGTGAAGTCGCATCCATAATTAGATGGGTATAAATGGGTAAGTCAAAAAATGAATTGGGTAACCCAATTACCCATTTATAACCCATTTATTTTTACTTTTTGTAAATTAATGTAAATTCATTTCCATAAACTAAGTTGTCAATTTATAACATCCTTTGCACCCATCATTAGTTTTAAATATTTATTTATAATACTTAATAAACCTAATTATCAATTTTTTCCCATATGTACTCTATGGCGCAAAATTATACATACTATTTAGTAATCAAACAATAAGAATATAAAAATTTGAACTAAGTACTATAAAAGTTAACATAAAAACTTAATCCAAAAATTTTGAACTTCTAGCATTTTTTCGTGTGTAAATTTAAAATTTCATTTTGGAAAAATAAGAAAAGAGGATAAAACTTGTCATAAATTGGTAATGGTGAAAAATGAGCAAGTTAATGGGTGGGGGAAGAGAGGAGGTTTGGGGGAAGACAATTCTAAAAGAATTAATTGGGTTTGATGGGTTACCCAATAATACCCATTTAACTCATTTATAATCATATGCAAAAATTTAACATACTCATACCCATCTATTCATAAGCGGTATGAGTAAATTTAGTTAAATGGATTTGCTTGACAGCTATAATTTTATCTGAAGAATGCTTAGTGGGCATTGGTCAAAAGCATCCCAAGTGTTATTTTTTTTTTTTCCCAATTCAGGGAATGCCTAAATATAGGAGTACAGTAAATATTGCAATTTATATTTACACGGTAAATTGTAGGAGCTAAAGTATTAGAGTGCTAGTGGGCACTTATTTAAAAAATTCTAAAATATATATATACAATAAGTATGCACATACCGAGATCCAAGGTGTAACTGCTGATGCAGATTAATTAAACAAATAGAACATACACTTTGCTATCAAACATTAGAAAAAAAAAAAAAACTGAAAATAGGTGTACATTGTGTGAACTATGGTAATTTCTTAACGCAGCTTTAGTTATCTAACGAGTGTATCCAATTGTTCCACTCAGCTGCGTGAAAGGCAAATCTCCATATGGAAAGATTTATCATAGAAACTATATAACTTTTGATTTCTAGATTTCTTGTTTCTAGTTTCTAGATTTTTTTTAATTGGATAGAAAGTGAGTGACTTTTTAGTTTGACTACAGCTTATGACTAAAGACAATTAACCTCCGTCTAACATCTGTAGACCACCAAACATAACAACGCATGCCGATATATTTTCCTTTTTTCATTTCTCCGTTACCTGTCACTAGCAAAACTCATTTTTTTTTTATTGTTTTTCTTTTGGGTTTCTTCATTACCCCACATAACAAAACCCCAGCGTCTATCGAAAAATCGAAAGCGAAAGTTTGGGAAAAAATACAAAAGTAAAATCGAAAACCAATCGAGTTCTTGTATGATATGATCCCACGTGGCTTAAGACTGACAAAGTCCAGTTGGAGAGCCCATCAATTGTTTCTAATTTATGTCCTTCGCCACGTGGCTTAAGGCGATTCAAAAATAGATAGAAATGGGGTCCTTCTGTTTTTCATAATTAAAATATGTATATGGTAAAAGATTAGAGCAAATCGTGTCATATGTCATTATATTGTACACTAGTGCTAATTTAGATCACAGAATTATTTTCTTAGTTGAAAATGTCACTGGACTAACCAAATTGCATGTTTTTTCTTATTTAGTGAAATTTGCCTGTCAAGACAAAAGGAATGGACATCAATTGACTTGCAGGCTTGGTTTTTGAGAAGCAAAATCATCAATTCAATTTTTTTGGTTAATGTTTGTCTTCGCCCTTGAACATTATAGACAACAATGAGGCTTCATTCTACTTTTCAACCCTAAGACCTTTGTGAATTTGTGCCCAAATATGAAGTGGGTTTCTCCTTGTCGTCTCCCACATCACTAACTAGCAAATGACTGGGATTCGTGGCCTTGTTTGGATTGCCTGTTTTCATCGAAAAATTGCGTCGTTTTCCGTAATCACATTTCCCTATTACCTTTTTTCCTCACATACATCAAATCGTTACAGTAATTTTTTCATGAAAAATCACGAAAAATGCAATCCAAACACAACCTTTTGTGTTTTGAGCGGGCATGGTCTCTTCCCCTTCCAAAAAACGAAGAGGATTTTTTTCTAGTTTTCTCTTTGCCATTTTTATAATCAGGTTTTGGGCATGACATAAAATGAAACTTTTCATTTAAATTTGTTTCTTGTTTTTCCGAAATTGCAACCAATAAAAAGCAGTCAAATAAAAGAAAAAAAAAATCAAAACCTTCCAATTCTTTTCCTTTCTGGTTATCTTCTGTCCACTTAACACAAACGGTGCCTAACT